CGTGAAAGCTAGTCAGCCCCACCCCACACACAATTATTTTTTATTTTTTATTTTTTTTTGTGGAAAAAAGTGTTGTTGTAACGTTATATAACTACCAGAACTGCTACTAGTGCAAGTCGTATATTACTACTGTTGTTATAGGCCTATTACTGTTGTAAATTTGTCTAATATACGAGTGTAAACTTTGCTCTGGCTCTTTTGAAAAAATTCTCAATTTTGTTTAGTTTTTTTGGCTCTTCTTGGTAAAAAGGTTCCCGACCCCTGGTCTAAGGTCTCTAGAGTCGATTGACCATCTTCCTCTCTCTATAATTCATCCTCATTCACACACTCTCACATATGTGCCGTGAAGTGTAGTTTAGCCCGCAGCTGGAGTGAGAAGTACGATTATTGATCACAGCTTTTGTCCCTCTCTGAATATCCCAGAGCAAATATAGCCCACTTACAAGCTACCAGGATTATCCCCTCTCTCCTGCGTCTTTTTCCAATGTCTTCTGTGATCAGAAAACACTCTATTTTTAATCACACAGCCTTAAAATATAAATAAACACGCTTGTGCTGACCTTGAGTATATAATTCTTTATGATCGTGATCTGGATTGTCATGTTGATGGTGCAAAAGAAGGGAGCTCTGCTGCTGCTACCTCCTCTCTGTCACTGCGTATCACTCCAATCCATCAAAATCACAAAGAGAGCACTTTCACACTCATCACATATACCGTATCATCTTCTTCCTCCCCACGAAGAGCGATAGAATGACTGTGATAATGACCTTTGTTGGAGCCTTTTTTTCTCAGTAATTGATCTGAATGTCTTCTTTTTTCCGTTAAGACAGCTTGAAGTCCTTTCATTATGTTCAGTGCACATGTGAAGAGAGAGACGCATCTGACCTAATGCAGTTCGTTCTCCTATAATTACCACTCTCGCTGGCTCTCTTTCTGTCTTGCAAGATTCAAAGCCGCTCTATGGTGCAATAAACACGGCTATACTGTATGTTGGCAAAGCATTAGCAATCATTATGTATTATTGGCTATTTTACAGAGACTTAGAACATGACTTTTTTTTTTTTTAATTGCAAATAGAGATGCACCGATTCCAGTTTTCTAGGCCGATCCCGATTTCCTTGAGTTTGACCTGCCGATAGCGATTTTAGCCGATTCCGATTTCATTTTTTCAAACCATTTTACAGCACACACAAATATTTATTGTCTATCTTCTCTTTAATAGAACGTTTTGCATATAACATTTTTTTGATGTTTGACCGGCATAAAATCGGATTATGTCAGACTGACCGGCTGGTCGCCGATCATGGCTGATCACGTGAAAATCGGCCGATTCCGATCTCTACAAATGTCGCACATCTTGCGACTACTGTACGTTTATACTTCCTAAGGTTTCACACTACAAATATGATTCACTTGGAGCTTAGATTGTAAATTATCTGAGGTGGTTTCCCATTTTTCCCCTGATCTTCTTTATCATTGAGATTGATAGAAATTTTGACTTTGGACTCTCCGAGGTCTATTACTAGGCTGTTTAGTAGCACATATTAATGCTTTATTCTGCATAACCATATTCTACATCCCTTAATCCTACCCAATACCTAAACTGAACAACAACTTTGCTGACTATTAATAAGCAGTAATTAGGAGTTTGAGTAAAAAATTATATTTAATAGTTAGGTAATAGTGAGAAATTGACCCTAATATAAAGTGTGAGCAAAAACGTTTGGTCTTTTTGTGTCATACAGTTGTTCTAGGCTCTTTCTCTCCCCAACTCTTTGCACTTGATGTCATTCTGGCTTTGAGTGGCCATATTTTCGCTCTGCTGTTTTCTGTGACGGTTGTGTGATAAGATGGGAAATGCTGCTGGGGGCCTGGAAGACTCCACTTATCTCCCTCAGAGCAGACACGTGTCGCTACACACGAATCAGTGTCTGGATCAAGCCGCCATTTTGGCTCTGCAGCTCAGCGAGAGACTGTTCATCTCTAACCTCTCTAATCCCTCAGGCCCAGGCAGCATCGCCACCATTTGTTCCTTTTATCGCTCCACAAGCGCCCAATCGACAAGGCAAAGAATGGTTTCTATAGCGACGCTACACCTGAGATCATTTAACAAACAGGCTTTCTTGGGGAGACGATCTTAGCCGTTGAGTGTTTTGTGTGGACACTAAAATCTGCTTTCAGTCTATGTGTGGCTAGCAGATACATTTTTTAAAGTTAGAAACAGATACACTTGTAAACCATTTCTCCTTTCCCGCTCTCGCTCTCCTGAGTGCTTTCTAACCGCCTGTTGTTTGTCAGATTGATGCTATTTTCTCTATTCTCACTTTTTGCCTTGCATGGATTAGAGTGCATCTTTTACCACAATGCTCCTACAGCTGTAGGTAGAGAGAATTTGTGCCCTTGCTCTTGTGCCGACTGTGGTTGAGTGAGCGTGTGAGTAGGTGTGTGTGTGTAGGAGGTGAGCTACAGCTCTATTAGCTTGTCTTGCACCTCGGCTTGTGTTTGGCTTGCTGAATCTCAGTCCTCTTTGTTTTGTGGATGCTCTCGCTCATATGCGGGCTACAGATCACCCTGTATATGTGATCTACACTACACTTCACCAAACCCTGAAATAAACTACATTAAGTCAAACTTTATATTAGGTGTTTTTTACTATGTTCTTACATAAAAAAATGGGCACAACGCAGTTGTCAACGTCTGTCGCCATGGTTACTATGGCAGTACGAGGTCAAACCTGGCGGAAATCGCAATTTTCTCATTTTACTAATTTACTAATAGTTTGAAACATTTGGGATATTGTAAGTAATCAACTAAACAAAATATATAACATTGGCCTAGTGATTTTGGGATATTTTACTGCAAAAATCCTACATATTGTACCTTTAAGGCAATGAGTTTCCTCATTTTTTTAAGTTGTCAATTGATCACTTTTTACAGTGAAGAAATAAATGCTTTTATTCAGCAAGGATGCATTAACTTGAGCAAAAGTGACAGTAAATTAATCTGTAATGTTACAAAGGTTTTCTCTTTGAAATGAAGACTGTTATTTTGAATATTCCACCAAAATATCCAAATATTTTCATAATCATATATTTGCCTATTGTGCTGTGCCTTTAGTATAATACAATATAAAAGATCATTCAAAATGTATTTTATTTCTTGACCATCATCATTTTTCACACACTACTTTACCACTAGAGAAAGACTACACAAGACCATTCTTTTTTTTTTTTATTTGAGCTGAGGATCTTTTCTGGTCACTGAGACTTGCTCTACATTTTCCATCAGTCCATCTAATTGATCCCCAGAATGCATCCAGTATTCCATTACCACTATTATGTGCCAAAGGGAAGTTATTAGGGACACCCTTGTTCTCTGCCTCTCTCTCTCTCGCTCCTCTCTGATACATAATAGTAAATCAGCTTATAAACTTCTAATTGTTCTTCTCTTCAATGGCATCATTAAGCTGGAAACATGACACATGAGCAATGGACTGACCTTTCCCCGGTTGCCCACTGTGTGTGTATTTGATTCAGCAGGACATACATAAAGTGCTCCATCAGTTAGTTTATATTCAGTTCAAGCATTCTCCTGGTCCAGAATCATAAAAAAATATATATATTTTAGAAACTGATTTGCTTATTATACTGTAGTTATTTGCTTTTCACAGTTGGGCTATTAAAAGCACATGGAGAGGTCATTATTTAATTCATTCCTTAAGTACGCTCAAAATCTCTGAGATTTTTATATCCTATTTATTTTATTGTTTATTTTATTTGTTTTTATTTAATTGAATAATAATACATTAATTTATCTTGGGGGGTCGACGGTCGACTGTTTGATTGACACATTTTCTGTCCAATGATTCTAGGTGGTCTTGGAAATGATTGGCTGGAGTTTTTTTGATTCCTGCCCGTTCCACAGATGCCTAAATTGCTCAATTTTCATTTCAGTGCTTCTAACTCGTGGCTGCAAGTGGGTTAGGGAAAGGATTTCAAGTGATTTTGAAAAAAATGTCAAAAAAAGAAAATCACATACCCCACCTTTAAGATGATCTTTTCTGTATAACAGCAGTAGTTAAAACATCTGTCAGACTCCTAAAAAGTAGTCAAAGGACTCCATAGGATTTGTGTGCTATAGTCCAAGTAGTCTTAAACTTGAGTCATATGAGGCTGATTCCTAAAAGTGTCATTTATTTCTGATGCAAAGCTGAATTTTCAGCATCATTACTCCTGTCTTCAGTGTTTTTTTTTTTCGTTTTAGTTTTTTTTGTCCTGTATTATCACATGACCAGCTGAATAGTGCTCAGTTTATCTTGATAACCCCTTACTATCAGATTCAGAATAAGTTTTTCGTAAGTGACAATTACCCCCAAGAAAGGGGTTAATTTACATTGACAGATGTCAATATAAAGACCACCATCATATTATTGGTCAGAATAAAATTATTTTTATTTTATTTAAACCCCAAAACCTCTACGACATCATCTGTGGAACATAAAACAAGATATTATGAAGAATGTTTTGGAAACAGTTTTGGTGACCATTGCCTTGGACCATTTGGTAACCACTGTATGGACCAAAAAACAACACTGAAACATTTCGCTAAATATCAAAATGTTCAACACGAAAGAAATTCATAAAGGTTTGGAATGACATAAAGACGAGTAAATGATTTTTAGGGTGAGTAGCAGTCTGTAAAATACTGCAGTAGTTTGTTAAGGTTGATTTAAAGCTCACGAGAATCTGAGCAAGAGCCCTTCATTTACTGAGTTCTCTTGGTACAACAAGCCTTATTTATGGATGACACTAATGGCAGCTATTTCTTCTGTTTTCTCCTCTTTCATGTTCTCCTTTCCCTCCCTCACCTGTTCATGTCCTGTTTCATACCTTGCACATCCCTCCCCCTCACATTCGGCTGTTCTCTCTTTTAACTTTCACTCCTCCACCCTCAATCCCACTCTCTCCCACCTACTCTCTCTCTCTCTCTCTCCCTGCAGCGGGGCAGCTCAGCCAGTCAGCTCATCTCGCACTCCAGCTGCCCTACACCGTGCTCGGTCTGGGGCGCAGCGCCAACTTCCTGGATCACCTGTTTGTGGGCATCCCCCGGCCCCCTGGAGGGAAGGTACAGACATACTTTCTCACACACGCTCACAGACACTCTCCATATGGAGGGAGGAGGGAGGAATCATGGGTAGAAAGGCCCCGTGAGAGGAAGAGCATGCAGATGGCCTGGTTTACTTCTACCTGCTTCTGTCCTGTATCTGAGAAGCAAAACATTGTATTCAATTCGAAAGCAAATATATATATATATATATGTATATTAGGGGTGCAACGGTACAGATAGCCCACGGTACGGTCCATACCTCGGTTTTTGGGCCACGGTCTCGGTTCGGTTTCGGTACATGTTTTGTGCAGAAAGAGACTGCTATTTCATCCCAAAAATATGTTTTATTTTTCTTATGAGCATAAACAGAATGTCACAGTAGGAAGAACATCAATGTATGGAATAAATTAACACTCTAGTCTGTACTGAACAACACTAAGTAATACAACCTCTTCAACTACCACTTATAAAATACAAAATGTAAACAAACACACTTTAGAATTTTCAAGTGGATCCCAATTCCAAACCTTGATAACTGGTATATGAAGTGATCAATGTGAAAGAAAAAGTGCACTTTTACCTTTAACAAACATAAATTAGCTTGTGGTTTGAATAAAAAGAGCCGAGCAAAATAATATAATAAAAAAAAACTTCATTCAGGATACAAAGTGCAATGTTATTTACTCGTCCACTATTGGGAGATTCTTGTGCAAAATGATACTGCAGTCAAACGTTTGACTGGGTTTGCGTTATGCATCCACTAGATGTGCTGGGAATGTAGCGAGTGCGCGGAGCCGGAGGTGAGGCGTTTATTTAGTAAGCGTGAGCGCGCTGGGGCGGGCACAACTTACATTCGCAGCCTCATATGAGTATTCAATGTGCGGCGGCTCGCTGCAGCAACGGCTGGCTGATTTGAATGAGACGACCCGGTACTGTGAATGGGGAGCGTTTTTTTGAATATCTGTGACGCGCGAGCAGCACCGTGTGACAAAGCGGGCATATGCTGGACACGAGCGCGAGTTCGCGGGCGAAATTAATAACGCGGAGCGTTGTTAACTAATTGGTCCATATATAAGGCGATCCGGATTATAAGGCACACTGTCGTTTTTTGAGGCTTTTATTTAAGTGTGCCTTATAGTGCGGAAAATACGGGAAAAGGATCAGTACGAACTATGGCAAAACCGAAGTCCCGCGGGATACGAGGGTAGATTGTCCCGTGCAGGGCTGACCGAACGGTCCGGGATTTTACCGTGTACCGTTGCATCCCTAATGTGTATATATATATATATACTCACCTAAAAGATTATTGGGAACACCATACTAATACTGTGTTTGACCCTCCTTCGCCTTCATAATTGCCTTAATTCTACGTGACATTGATTCAACAAGGTGCTGAAAGCGTTCTTTAGAAATGTTGGCCCATATTGATAGGATAGCATCTTGCAGTTGATGGAGATTTGTGGGAACAGGACACGAAGCTCCTGTTCCACCACATCCCAAAGATGCTCTATTAGGTTGAGATCTGGTGACTGTGGGGGCCATTTTAGTACAGTGAACTCATTGTCATGTTTAAGAAACCAATTTGAAATGATTCGAGCTTTGTGACATGGTGCATTATCCTGCTGGAAGTAGCCATCAGAGGATGGGAACATGGTGGCCATAAAGAGATGTGGCCACCATGTACCCATCAGACCAGGCAACATTTTTCCAGTCTTTAAAGTCCAATTTTGGTGAGCTCTTGCAAATTGTAGCCTCTTTCTCCTATTTTTAGTGGAGATGAGTGGTACCCGGTGGGGTCTTCTGCTATTGTAGCCCATCCGCCTCAATGTTGTGTGTGTTGTTTGGAGCAATCTCCAAACTTCAATTTGGAGTTCAGGAGGTTAGGCTTGTTTGAGATGCGCCTCGCCTGAAATGTAGTCGAGAGTAGGCGGCTGCAGTGAGAGGAGGAGTGAAAAAAAGCGCAGTCAAGCCAGACAGATCTCGGTTCTCGCAGTGGATCAGACACCTGTGAGATAAAGTCTGCGCTCGTGCACGTGTTGCTAATAAACTGGATGTGATTTAAGTTCTTTTGCTTTTATATGAAAATAAATATAATGAACAAGACACCCAAAGTAGCCTACTTGTTATTTAATTACATTCCAAAAATGTGTTTATAAATCATTTTTTCTTTAATACAGACATGTGTTTTTCTATATTGTTTTAATAAAAATGACATCTCATAATAACCCATATGGCTCTGTCAGAGAGTTTATTCACCCATATGTATACACATAAAACATGATATCAGTTTTAAAATCAAACATTTTAAATGAGAACAAAACATCACTGTTGTTTAAACCAATGAGAATTAAGCTGTGTCGTCAGCAAGTCGTTTCCCATCGTGCTTTTGATCACCGCAGTCGGTGGAGAGCAACTGCGCTCGGCTGCAGAATCCGACAGGTGCGCCTTGCGCTCGCGAGAGTTTTTTGACATACGTCGGCATGACATCAGAGCAAGGCAGTTCTCAGACACATTTCTTTTTTTTTTTCTTTTTTTTTTTTATATTTTATTTACATTTTCAAATAGACAGACAAACAAACAAACAAACAGGGCTCAGATGCAGCAATTGCCAATTGTTACAATCATGTTTAACACAACGGTAGCAGGAAAAGTTGTTAACACAGGAACATCTCAGACACATTTCTAACTGGCATGCATCTCGCACTGTTCACCAGTGATCGATTCTGCGCAGATTTTGCTCATCTCAAACAAGCCTGTTGTCTTAACCAGGAACATACCCTTAAATGCATTGAAGCAACTGCCATGTGATTGGTTGATTAGATAATTGCATTATTGGGAAATTGAACAGGTGTTCCTAATAGTTCTTTAGGTGAGTGTGTATATACAGTGGTATGAATAAGTTTTGGCACCCATGCTAAAGTTGCCTAAAAAGAGGAATAAAAAATCATCTTTTGGATATTGATCTTAATGCCTTAATTAGAAAAATGAGGAAAACTCCAACCTTTAAAGACACAAATTTTCTTTGTGAATGAATAATCTATCATAAATAAATAAATGTTTTTCCTTAAAATACAGGGTGCATAAGTCAGGGCACCCCTATGTTACTTGTGCACCCCTAGAGATTGGCATGGGGTACTTTCCATAAGATCATCTTTCAATGCAAATCAAACCAGCTATTAGGCTAACTGAAGTAAAACCATGCCAATCTCTAGGTGTGGTGGAAGATGTGTGATGATGTGGGGATATTTTAATTCCAAAGGCCAAGGGAACTTTATCAGGATGCATATTATCCTGGATCCATGAAATAACTGGCTTTTAAAAATAAAAATCTGCCTGACTCTATGGGAATTTAACATAGGGGTGTCCTGACTTATGCACCCTGTATTTTAAGGAAAAACATTTATTTATTTATGATACATTATTCATTCACAAAGAAAATTTGTATCCTTAAAGGTTGGACTTTTCCTCATTTTTCTAATTAAGGCATTAAGATCAATATCCAAAAGATGATTTTTTTATTCCTCTTTTTAGGCAACTTTAGCATGGGTGCCAAAACTTATTCATACCACTGTATATATAATCCTTATTAGAGCTGCAAGACAGCACTTGCATCTTTTAATGCTTTCCAGGTTTTCAAATTATTGGGGGTGTTTTCTTCCCTTTCGTCTTGTCTCTGTCTGGTTTTAGCTGAAGAAGTGCAATTTAAAATCTCTCCCTCCCTCCACTTCCTCTAGAGTTCCCCCAATGCTACTCATTTAAATTTAAGACGTCGGCTTCCTTTGCTGTCACTGAGCTAAACAGAGGTCTTTATCAAACAGTGATTAGAATTGCAGATTTGATTTACCAACACACACACACATGAATACATGCACATGCATACACACATTCACATTAACACAAAGCTTGCGCTTGAGCAAGTCTCATGTACAGCAATTTGGTATTTTGTGTTTTAATTGGGCTGTCGATTTAACACTTTCATTTAGTAAAATTAATTACTTATAAAATGTACACACAAAAATGGCACATTTAATCATGCCTTCTGACCCGACTCGAAAATGGGTCTCGAGGGATGCTTTTAAAAAGTTGAACTGTTTTTAACCTGACAGTGTGTCTTTAAAATGCAGCGCTCATGATGCAAGACACTGAAAAAAACAAGAAAAAACACGCTGAAACCTCTGAACGATGTCCTTCTTGCAATATATTCACTTCTTAAGATACTTTTTGATTGATAGACTCATCTGCCACACCAATGTCTTTGAATTTTCTTAATTTGAGGGTACCGGTATACTGTAAATATTGATTTATGTGGATAGTGCATATTATTATTTTTTTATTTTATTTTTTTAATGACCTATACATTTTTTATTTTTTTTTTGGGATCCTATAAAAGCTGAAGGTAATGAGAGAGGAATACTTTGCTTTGAGTTTCCTCACAAAGGCTCTGCATATGTGGTTGTTTTTCTGACACAGATGAATGTTTCTATACGGCATACTTACAGTTCCCGCTGACAGCCCCGGTTTGGGTTCTGAAATCTCAGAGCTCGTGTTGAGAGGGGAAAGGCTCAGTTCTCTCTATAGTTTTCACTTCTTTAATCTCTCACTTCTTTAATCTCTCACAAGATACATGTACTTACTAATAATCGTAAAGAATGCACAATTACAACCAACTAACCCTAAATCAAACTTCTTATAGAATCCTATAATCTTATAGAAAGTAAACACAGTAAATTAATATTACTCTGTACTTATTTGTGTAATTTGTGACTCCTTGGAATGAGCTTTTTTTTCTTGACATCTATCAAACTTGCCTTGAGCTGTCAGCACAAGCAAACAAATGTTTTGTTTTTCAAACAGATTAGAAGGTGACATTCTTGAATTGTCAAATCGTCTCATATCATTAAATTTGTAATTAGGGCTGGGCAACGATTAATCGCATCCTAAATAAAAGTTTGTGTTTACTTAATAAATGTGTGTGTACTGTGTATAATTATTTTGTATATAAAAATTTACACACATGCATGTATATATTTAAGAAAAATGTGTTATTAATATAAAAAATATTTATATTTAATAAAAATTATGTATAAATATATATATACATGCAAATATTTCTTAAATATATACATGCATGTGTGTGTATTTATATATGCAAAATAATTATACACACCACACACACATACTGTATATTATATGTAAACACACTTTTATTTTGGATACGATTAATCGCGATTAATCATTACCCAGCTCTATTATATCTTCTTTCTATATTCTAATAAAAGCCCCATCGAGGTCTCTCCGTTGCATAATTATACGGCCAGGGCCTGTCGGTTAGCGTAACCTTAAAAACGCATGGGCTTAGAGCTCAGAGCAGCAGTTGAGGGTCTTTGACTGTAAAAAAATCTTTGTCTTTTCTGCCCATTGACCTCCGCAGCAGGCAGAGGCTTGACTCCCCACAGCGAGACTGAATACCATACCTTTCATTTGCAAGCCTCATCCATTCTGACTAAAGACACATACTAAAAATAGCTTGTTCAGACCACACACTCTTCCTCAGCTGCGCCCATGTACGCACATACCAGAATGTAGAGTTATGATAAATGTGTTGTCGGAAATTAAAATCTGTACCCCTGGAGGATTCCCTCAAAAAGATGGATTTAACGTTTGCTGCTAATTGCTGTCGAGAAAGAAGTTGAAGAGGGAAAATTACCTTTGTAATTGATAGAGGTAACTGTCTTCATAATACATTACAGCTTCCAGAGACTTCCCTTCATCTAATAAACTTTTTCTGCAAATAGCTGGGGGAATAGATGACTATTCATGCTGCTTCATGTTTGGAGGCGTATTAACTGCATTTTGCACTAAGAATTATGGCGTTTTCTCCTACTGAAAGACTCACAACTTCAACACAAATGAAAAAGGCTGTTTTCATTGGCTCTCTCATTGCTGCCATGTCAGATTTCTAGTTCTGTCGATGCTAAATATAGGGTTAGGGTTATGTTAGTTATTAGTTTATATCTCTCTCAGAGCGGGGTAAATATTTAACAAATTGACAGTGCGAATGTCCTGTGTAGTGCATTTGAAGTGAACATCATACATTGAATCACACGGGTTTAGCGGCTGAAGGATTTGATTGGTTTGTAGCCAGTTGATGTTTACAGATATTTTTCAAACTTTTTTGTGTAGCTTTGATCACCTGCCTGGAAATGGCTCCCCCACTTACTCATCTACACTTTAAAGTAATGTAGAAATCTCTGATTGGACTCATCGCTCCTACTCACTTCAGTAATGGCACATATATCAGTATATCTGCACCTGAAGTGCGGCTCTTTCTCTAGTTTGCCAAAGTTTAGTTAAACAGTGTAAATGTAGGCCAAATTTGGTGTTGAGAGATGTTGGAATAGTGTATCAGCCATTATGTATTTAATGGTGTTAAAAAGATAGATGTGTTAAACATGCCCTGTCCTCCTTTAAGACCCCCCACTTCAATAATGTCCAATTATACAATAATACAATCTCCTGCAAATCCCCTCTGTCTTCCGCCGAGGCACATCAGCTCTAGTTCATGTTTGCCAAAAGACAACTGCAGAAATTGAATGTGCTGTGATTTCCATAATGGTAATGGTACCTAATATTCTCTCTCTTCCATCTATCACTCTCTTTCTTTTGCAGGATGTGAGGAAACAGGAGTGGACCGCTATCATCCCTAACTCTCAGCTCATCGTTATACCGTACCCACAAGATGACCCTCGCAGGTACACACACATATGTATTTAATTAGCAGATAAACATTTTTTTATCGAAAAATATACTCAACAGTCAGATAAATATTATAAGCAAGTTTAAAAGTAAACTATTCTTTTTTTTTTATCATTGATAAAATTTCAGTTAAATGTATTGAATATACGTATATAAATTGTTAAATAATTATATTTTTTTATAGATCTGTCAATTGCGATTAATCGCACCCTTATCATGAAATTAGCCCATATTACACCATCTATCTTGTTTAACACATTCATTTTGTCATAATTTGTATATCCAGCAAAGTAAACCATCAAATTAAAGGGTGATTCACACAAAATTGTATTTTTTGCAAGCTTTTTAAAAGAACACTCAAAGACATCAAATAATACAAGGAGTCCATTATTATTCATACATGTATGCACACCAAAGCACCCATGAAAAACATTACAGAAAAACAAGGATTTTGAATTAGTCACATTAACGTCGACAGCCTTAATTTTTAACAGTAAACTCATTACTATATTTTTCCTGTGAATGTTAGGAACTGTTATACAATGAAAAAAAAAAAAAAAACGTTTTACAGCCAACAAATATTTTATCAACGTTTTTGCAGTCCTTAGCTAGTTGATGTGCATGCACACACTTGCTCAACACCTTCTGCCCAATCCCACAAACTGTCCATGTACACTTTTCAAATAGTTCCTTCATTTAATTCGATCAGCAGCATCTACTGACATCTAAACCCACAGCCAACAAGCAAACAGTAATAAACTTGTTAATGTAATTTAAAGCAATATTATACCATCAAAACATCCGTCACTAGTCTTAATGAGGACTGCGAGAAGGTGTTTCCTCAGGCATTAATATTTAATGTGTTTACCACCAGCACAGCCGAAATGTATCTTAATGAAGCTGTCCGCCAATCTTTTTCATAAATATTTGAGCAGATCACTTGATTTCCTATTATTCCCCACAGACCCAGCTCGGGCTCGTTCAGCTGCCGTTTTACTTTCAAACAATTCGTAAAGATAAACAGAGTATCTCTCGTTCTATTCTCTCCAGTAAATGGAGAGCGTTCCGACTCTCACTCGCTTTGTCGGTCTGTTATTTAAAGCGGCTCGTCTTGATGTCCTGATGTCTCGGCTTGTCAGGGTGCGTCAGGACTGATTATATTTAGCTTTCTCAGGTTCTTTGAATCATCACATTAAAGCTCACGAATGAAGTTGCACAGTGCTAATAAGAGTTTTATGCAGTGCTGTAAAGTCCCCGTCACTGTTTTGATCTACACAGGTTTTGCTCCGTATATTGACTTTATGTGCGTTCTCACATTTTGTTTCAGAGTTTTTTTGTTGAATGCTGTTTAAAGATGTTGTTCTCAAAAGTTTTCAGTTGTCTCTCTTTCTCTTTCTCTGTGTATCTTTGCAGCTGGAGTGCGAAGCTCTACCTTACCCCAAGTAATATTGTCTTATTAACAGCGATTGCACTGATTGGCGTCTGCGTCTTTATTCTCGTCATCATCGGGATACTGCACTGGCAGGAGAAGGTGAGAGCCTTAATTTTCAGCCTTTCACTCATCTGATGATGATCTAAGCCCAGTTGTCACTGCCATCCTCTCGCTCCTGTGTTCCCTGTTTCTTCTATGGATCTGTTTGAAGCACTCCAGCATCTGTGTTTCCTTCTGCACTGAATGATTGTGACCTCACACAGGCTCATCCTTTAGTCTTTGGTCTGCACATGTGTGTGTGAAGATCTGAGCAGATGGGTGTGTCTGTGTGTGGCCCTGTCCTCAGGCTCTCTCCGAGGGTGCTCCACACACACACTGCTATGCAGCTAATTGCTTTGTTCTCTGTCCTTTCAGCATATCAAATCTGTTCCTCATTATCCCACACAACATGTCCTCCAGGGTGTTGTGTGTGAGTTTGTGCACGTGAAAGCCTGAGTTTTTGTCTTTGTGTGTGGGAAGGTGATAGTTTGCCTTCTTGTATGCTATTTGTACCTCTGAATGTGTGAATTAATTACTTTTAAAACACTCAGTAGGGGTCACAACAGTTGGCTAACCAACTAGTTTTTTAACAACTCATTCGTGAGGTTGACAAGCTTATCTAAAATGTAATTTGCGGGCTGCACTGTGTTTTAGCTGTTAGACAGTTTTTATTATGTAATCCCTTCAAAAAGTTACAGGTGTTGCTTTCAGACAGATGTCTTTGGCTGTTACATCACATGCCATTCTGTTTTTTTTTTTTTTTTTAGACAGCATGTCAAATTGTGCCAAAATACCAACTTTTAAAGACCACTGCATGACTTGCGTGACATTCTCTAAGAAAAACGTCCGGTTAGGGTCAATGGGAAACCGTTATTCCTTGAGACCAATTATCCAACTGGAGTCATTCAGTTTATAAATAGCTCTATTATTTCCCTGCCGGAAAATTTTGGTTTAAGATGGTCTCCCAGCCTGGCCCAGCTGGTGCTCAGCTGATTTACCAGCAGAAAAGTGTCAAAAACCCTAAAGACTCCAAAGGCACTCCCATTGTTCAAGTGTTTATAGATTGAAAGTGACTTAAAGGGTTAGTTCACCCAAAAATGAAAATTAAGTCATTAATTACTCACCCCCATGCTGTACCAACCCCGTAAGACCTTCGTTCGTCTTCGGAACACAAATGAAGATATTTTTGATTAAATTTGAGAGCTGTCTCACTACCACATTGGCTGCCTAAGGGACTGGTTCTTGACGGCCCAAAAAGTCAATGAAGAAAATGTTTAAATATCCCAAGTGACTACCGTGGCTCAACTATAAGTTTATCAAGCGACGAGAATACTTTTTGTGCGAAAAAACAAACAAAAATAACGTCCTTAGATTTCCACGACGCATGAGCGAGAATTGCGCAATTCTCGCGCATGCGTCGTGGAAATCTAAGGAAGTCTCGTTTCAGGCCAACAAGGAAGAAAAGGAATAGTCGAATAAAGTCGTTATTTTTGTTTGTCTTTTCGCACAAAAAGTAGTCTCGTCGCTTGATAAACTTATAGTTGAGCCACTGTGGTCACATGGGATATTTAAACATTTTCTTCATTGACTTTCTGGGCCGTCAAGAGCCAGTCCCTTAGGCAGCCAATGTGGTAGTGAGACAGCTCTCAAATTTAATCAAAAATATCTTCATTTGTGTTCCGAAGATGAACGAAGGTCTTACGGGGTTGGTACAGCATGGGGGTGATTTTTGGGTGAACTAACCCTTTAATTATAGTTTCACTTTAGAATTCAAGAAATTTAAATATATGTCTTGATTTTTATTTGTTTTAGCTTTTTTAAAAGCTTGTTTTGTCTTAATAATAGTCGCCTTGAAGCCGTCTTTAAAGTGGGTCCCGTCCTCCTGGTTGAGAAACCTATAAAACCAGCCGGTTTTATTGGAGTGTGAAACGCCGGTTTCACACTGCAAGCGTTAGCAGAGCATAAGCAGCGCATATTTTTTTCAACACCCATGTTAACAGATTAGAGCATTCACACTGCACGCAGAGGCGGCGCGGCAGCGCGTAGCAGGATTCAGCAGTCCCGGGATCATTTCGGCATCCTGTCTATTTTTGCCGCGCAGCTTGGCCAAAAAAATTTTTGATCATGGCCAAAATACACAGCAGTTTTACCCAAAAGCGGATTGATGATATCTACGTTGTTTAAACAGTCAATCAAATGACCTTCATCAATTTAAAAAGAAAACAAAGTCAACAAAAACAAAGATGAAACAAAAGTTATATAATATAGCCTATTGATTAATAAAATAAGCTTCTCGACAAGTCTTTTCTCTTAAATGTATTTGAAAATGAAATCAAGCTTAGCCAACTTACCCTTTATAGGGTAGGCTACTTTGTAATCACGCGACAACGCTGCCAGTATGAAAGCAAAACGCACGTGTCCTGCTTCCGCTCACCGTAGGTGTACAGTATGCAGGGTGTTTATTGGGTTTCGTCTTTTCATTCATTTAAGAGTGCTTGTGTGTCTTCACGTATTCAAAGGCATTATGGCTGTTCTGGTGGTGCTTTGAGTACGCATGTGCGCAAGCAGCGAAGAGCTCCTCTGGTTTTGGCTTCCTCTCAACTCAAAGCCATCTGCTGTGGGTGCCTGATTATGCGCGCTGAAAACCATAATTGCTCTCTGCTCAGGGAAGCACTTCCCAATACACGACCTTCAGTGGAGTTGACACGGCATTAAAATAACATGCTGGCTCCATATCTCTCTTCCTCAGCCCTGCAATTATGTATTTGACAAAAGGGAAGAGAGAGGCTGAAGGAAGGTTTGGAGAGGGAGTATTTTGGCTCTTTGTCTTGTCTTGACGACTGCTTGATGGAGCATGTGCTTTCCCGATGCACATGTTCAGGTGACGATTAGCATTGCTCACTTATTCGCTATTAAAAGGTCAGGAAGCGTCCCTTTCTCTTCTGCTTCACTGAGAAGTCACACAGCCCTGTTTTTCTCTCCACAACTGACACTAGGAGCTGTGCAGACTGCAGGTGGTCTGCGCTTCTCTTCATTTATTGCAGCTTCTCGCAGTCCAAATATAGCACAACTCCAGAAACATTCTCTGCTTCTAGTCATAGATATGCTTTGAAAGCTGCATTTGTGTAAATGTCTGTGCATGAAATTTCAGGATAAGTATGAGCATATGCCATTGTGAAGCGAGGGAAATGTCAGTACCGCGCACAGATTGACTTGACCCCTCATGAAACCGCATGTTCTCGTCAGACGCAGCTTAAAACAGCCAATGTACAAAGCGTTTCTCGCTCTCGATCTCTTTTGTCCCTGCCCTCCGTCTTCATTGCCCCCCATGACAGTTTGTAATTGAAGTGGCTTTAGCAGATAAGAGAGGGCAACCTGTAGTGCCTGTGAAAATAGCATTTGGAGAGGACTCAGCAGATCGCTCCATTTCAGCGGCCGGTTCCATTTGCATCCCAGTGGGAGGGGCGCGATATTAGACGAAGATAAGACGCAGTATTTCCTTTTTGCCTCTGGCTCCTCTCTTCCTGCTCAATGTCGCAGGAAAGACACCGATGCATGAAGTATCGAGGTGTTCTGTATCATTTGCATGTCTCCATGGGACCGGAACACACCTTGTTTTCCAAGATGTAGACGTCTTCTCTTAAAGAAATGCCTGAAGACAAGACGCTAAAAACGGTTTTCAGTCAATTAGTGTTTTTTGTTTGGTTTGTCTTGAGTTTGTTTTAGAAGGGTTAAAAAAACACTACATCTTTTTAATCTCTCAAAAAGACCAAGATATAAAATACTGTTTTTATTACTGACACGTTTTGGTCGATCAGATCATAAGTAGACAAGGGAAACATGTGATGTTGTAATCCGTTTCTTTTGTCCAGTTTTTGACTGTCCTGATTTCTTCAAGGTGAAGGTCTACATTAAAATGGGTTTCCTTTGTAATTGTGTGAAAAATAGGTTGATTTTGGACATGTTTTGGTCGATTTTTTCTTATTTTCTCTGTTTTTATATTTCGGCTACGTTTGCCGCTCACTTGAACTTAATCCTTTAAAACACTAATGCTTTAATAATATTGTTAAGTAATGTAGACCCTGATCTTTAGTTAAGTAATGTGATCTTTTTTGTGATCTTTAAAATGCACTTCATTCAATGATGAATTATTAAATTCATGAATAATGAATAATGATGAATTATTTATACAAATTAGTATAAATAGCATACATTTTGATATTAGCTATCAATTTAAATTAAATATTAGTTATCAGCCAAAAAAAAATTAACTGAGCGTTATTGGTATCACCAAAAAATTTAAAGAAGCAAGCAGCAACAGATCTATCCTTCTTCCATATAATGATGTACATCTGAGTGAAGCAGATGATTGGGGGGGAAATTGTAAGGTGGGGATTTAGTTCTTTCCATTTTATGTGGGGTTGTGCGGACAAAATCACTAGATCCAGTTAGTTTTTTTTTTTTTTTTTTTAAATACAAGAAAAACAAAATTAAGCATATAGGCTATGTATGGATGAATTGTTTACAATAAAAAAAATATAAAATTGATCGGGTGAATTACATTTCATGCTTACTATACAGTAATATCCTTATTCAAAACAAAAGCATACTACCAATATGTGTCATGCGTACAGCATAGCAGGCACTGGAATTGAATTGAATAAATGATGTAATATTGATCTGTTTATTGAATAATAAAAGGAGAACATGATTTTAAGGTCATTTAACAAAAATGCCTTACAGGCAACTTGACTGTGTCTAATATTTGATGCGACTTGAGTCTTCGAATGTATTGGGGTCATGTCGGCTCACTACAGCTTCATCGGTACCTGTACTGTGTATATATATATATATATATATATATATATATATATGCTTGTCAGCGCCTTGAGGTGTGCCTGGAGAGTTGGAGAGCACAGCAAACCGAATGTGTGGCAAAGAAATTCAAGTTGCATTTCTGTAACAACAAATATAATGCTATAATACAAAAGTGTCTGACGGACGAAAATTGTGTGTGGAAACAATATATTTCCCATTGTTACTGTTAATTTGCATTAAATTGCTGACGGCTCATCTGACAGAGACTATTAATGTTACATACACTGCCTCTGGAAGAACTAAAATGGTCAGACGTGCTGCAACTGCAAGTCCTGTTATTTAGTAATCCTGAGTTTGAAGGAGCATACAGGCTATTTTTATCACTGACTATGTAATTAAGTTGAGAACTCATGACAGAGTAATCAATGAGTCTGTGACTGGCCTATGACTCACCCAACACACTTAAATGGACCTGAAATAAGGATGAGCTCGCAGGTACGCATCTCAGATCTTAATTGTCGCTACAACCCTCAATTACGGCAATGAAAGCCGGCGAATAGTGATGTTGACGTGACTCACCACCATATCGTGAGAAAAAATCCGACATAGCGGTACATCTTACAAATAGATACCATCTAGAGGCTCCTGAGCAGATAGCGTAAAGCTTGACAGCGCTCCGTCAAAGCCTCGGGCTCTTTTTGCATGGTCTGTGAGATATAAAGTCTTTTTGAAAAAGAAAGTAATACCTTCTTATATCTGTCTGGCAGACTGGCATATTACTTTTTTTACCTTAACTGATTTGCCATTTTGCTTATGACCAAGTAACTGTTTTCTGCAATTACTAGGAGGAAAACGACACACCTGGAGCTCGAAATACACCCAAGTGACCCTTATAGAACAGGAGAGCCAATTCACAAGTGCCTCACAGAGGGACCCTGTGCATGAGTCACTCATACAAGCTGAGAATAGACATTGTTTTTTTGTCATCACCGAGACAGGATAATCACTGAGCATACAAACACACACACACACATGCTCGCTCTCCAGGTTTGGCAGTGTGTGTTATTATCAGTCTCAGGCAGCAAGTGTCTGGTGTCGGCTCTATCTGTGATCGCACACAGAGGTATTTCGCCGTGGTAAAGTGTGCCATTGTGTGTGTAATGAGTTCTCTGTCTGTCTCTCTCTTACTGTGTGTGTCCTATCCTCTCCCAATGTATCAAACGGCATTGTATTGTGCTTGCATTCAACTCACTGGCAAGGTTAACGTGCGAGACCCAGATATTCCAGCTTGCTATCAAGACCGTGAAGTTACAGAATGTAGCAACCTTTAAATGTTTGTGTTTTACAGAAAGCAGATGACCGTGAGAAGAGACAGGAGGCCCATCGCTTCCATTTCGATGCCATGTGAGAAATTGGAGAGATCGACACAGAGAAGAACGGGTCTGCTTTCATTTCAGTGGTGTATTTATTTTTTATTTTTTTCACACTGGAGCATTTTTATGCATTAAATGATGTCTGAAATCAGAGGAATCCATCAGAATATGAATAGTTTGAACAGTGATGTGCCTCTGTAGATCTATTGACATCCGAAGAGAAAAGGTTATGTTTCTGTCGAGTTTGTTTACATGATTCTAAACGCATAATTATGTTTGCACATTGAGAAGAAAGAAAAGTGTTTGGTGCCATTTTCTGTACTTTGGTTTGGCATAAACATGTTACTATAAAAGTCTTTCTTTGTATTGTCGAAGTAACGGGTGAAGATCAAGTGGGCAGAAACAGAACTGTTTTTGAAGGACTTAGATAGTTATCTGCCTTTGTGTGTATGGAATGGATGTGACTGAACCACTTTACTAAATAAACGCTTTGAATCCATGCGCTACACGAGGCCCCTGTTAACAAAAGTGTGCTCTGTAAACTAATTTTATTAGGCATTTAGATGTGTGGAACCAAATAAAACTGAGTTATTAGAAATGGCATCACTCTATTACAATAAGGTATTGATTTAAGGATCAAAGCTCAGTGCCAACCTCTTCCAAATGATTCCCCAGAGTTTGTTTCAATTCATTTCCGGTGGATGTAAACATTCTATAGAAAGTCCTCAACCCTAATTGCTCATAGTCCACATTAATCAGGTTGCTTCATGTTCTTTTCTTCATTTTGCATTCAAGTAATTCCCACTGTGTCTGTCTTACTGATTGTTAGGCACAGTTATCGATACTTCAACTCTGGGTTGTTTTTCCGTTTGTCACTTATGCCTTTGGGTATTTTTCCTTGATTTCTATAGGTGGTTTTATTTATTTCTTATACTTGTTTTTAAAACACTGTAACTTAATTTTGTGCTGCTGAAGACTGTTTAGTGTGAAGGGTTTTGTTCTTAGCTGTATATATCTGACAGGTGCTCTGATCAATGTATTAATTTATATGCTAGTCTATTTTACCTTTATATGGTGCACTATATGCACATTAATTGAGCAGTTTCACTTCCAAAGGTAAAATCGATGGTCTAACTTGCATGTTATATAGCATGCAATTTGTGCAGATGGTTTTTGCTAATTGTTTCTTGTCAGGTGTATTGGTCCCAACAGGTTGTGTATATGTACTCTGTTTAATCCATTCTCACCATGTTTTTGGTTGCTGTTAATCAGTATTTTTTTTTTTTATGTTATATAAATAAACATGACCAAATGCTTTATTACCTTTATGTGTTCGTCTCGTATCACCTTTATGTGCACCTCGTATCCTGGAAATAAAAACCTGCGTTGGTTTGTATTCACACCGTGGTTCATACGTTCATGGGGGGTCTGTATCATTATCAAATGATTTAAATAAAGTCATGACTGGGAGCTGTTGTGTGTCTAAACCTTCTCAGTCAAAAAGCAGACTACATTACAGTAAATTGTATAAAGTACATCAATACTCAAGATGCTGTGTCCGTGTCGAATCACGTCACCTCAACTTGACCGAGCTCTCCGCGTCTTACTCTCACGAACTGCGCATGCGTACATGCTGCTCATTCAAGCGAGCAGCGCCCGAAGCTCAAAATGAGCTTCATTTAGTGCGATCACCTCAGTTCAGCCCCAGACTCCCACAGACGAGCGTCTCTCCCCGGACTCTCCGCGACGCATGTGGATTTACAAAGCACATTTCTCAACAGGATTATAAACTCATTTACAACTTGTCAGGCAGACTTGATGCGCGCGTTCTTCGTAAGGAATAAGGTGGTTTCTTTACATCGTGAGGAATGGGATTAACGAGATCGAAGAAAAGTTGGGATTTGTAGATCTAGTAAAATGGAGAGATAAAGCTCGCCTACAGAGATCACGAAGGCAGACGCAGCGGTAATTCACAGCGAGTGGAAATGCACAGAGGTGAGTTTCAACAAACATTTATTTATTTTTGTCCCGTGTCTGAACACAAAGCGCGATTTGGTCCTATATGGTTGTTGCTGCTGCAACAAATGCAGCTCAGCATCCACAATATACAGCCTTGTCTAACAAGTTTTTCAGGGACAACCATAAATCGCTTCGCCACCTACAGGTGTGCTTTTGTTTATTGGCAGTATCTGTCCTAGAAAATCTGGCTAATCAATTCCTCTATCCGTTATTTGCTTCGTATTCGTTTAACCATTGGTCATTTGTATGACAGGAAATGTTTTTTTGTCATTTTTGGCCAGCAAAAACGTAATTTGCACGTTAAAAGCGGTGTAGTTCCACACAACAGAAGGCGAGTTGCATTCGATCACTGCAGCGTCTCCCGCAAGTTCGCCGCGTGCTGCGCGTGGCATTTGCAGCGCGCGGCGCGAGAGTGCTGATGTGACAGCTCCCGCGTGCCACAGCTGGAGCACGAGCTGCTGCCCTGCACTCATGACCCTCATCTCCACCGATGAGACGTGTCGGCGAGATTTTAACCAAATATATAACGGGCTAATGCTTTGTATTTGTACATACAAATCAATATATTAATATAGGAATAGCGTATAAAAATCACTATAATTTATTTAGCAGTATAAATCATTTATAATAAAAGAACCCTTCAGAATAGCAAACTGTTACAAAATTTAATTGTTTTGGCAACATGTTGTTCACCACTATTAGCATTTTTCAATCACAAGGCAATATGAACACTCAGTCATGTAAAATATGACCATGTATAGGCTAGTTACCCACGAAGAGGAAAAAGCGTGTTTAAAATAAGTCATCTCCTCACCAATTATGTTTTATATCAATATGCAAAATGATGGCCAAATTTCGCACTAACCTAAATTATTTTCCCTCAACTGCTCTATAATTGAATTACAACCAAATAATTGTTGATTCTGCATTTGTTCTGTATATACACCGTTTTTGCTTAGGCCTATAGCGAGATGAATCTAACATTTAATGCAAATGTTTATTTTATTATTATTATTTTGTGTGTGTGTGTGTGTGTGTGTGTTGTCTCGGAGTAGCCTAAGTCAAAATTACAAACTGAAGGAATAAAGTCAGCTTTTGTAAAGAAATGGAAGAAAAATACAGTAGCCTACTTGGCATAAGTATGAGTGATATATGTCATAAGCTCATTGCAAAATAGCTGGATCTTTTTGATCAGTGACAGTTAGAATATAGTCTATGGTAATAATCAAGTGAGAATAAAGTTTTTCCCTCTTCGTGGAGAGATCTGTTTTGGCGTATTTATGGACTCGCTGCTCAAATATGATACATACAGGCCTCATAACATTTTACCCATCGTCTTTCTTTGACTGTTTATGATCGTCCCATGGGGCTCATCCCAGATGTGTGTTCATTTGAAACCAGACAGCACGCAAGACAATTCATGCATAGAAATCGGATCCTACGTGAGATGTGGAGCCGTACTACTGTTGCCTTTCTCAGTTTGGTGACAAAACTCAGTTTAATTCAGCTCTAAAACTTTCATTATGCATGTTCTCTTTGCGTTTATCTACACGTCGTGTGCTATGTAAAAGATCCCCGGTTGATCTCATCTTGTAATATAGGCTACATCACATAAAATAGCCTAATCGATTCCAAGAGAGATAACTTAAGTTCATCTTTCGCGTGTGACTCTGAAATCTCTAAATCTTTTAAGACCGAAACATGAGATTCTGAGGGAGATTGTCGTGTTCGACTTTTCTTAGTCAAATGTGCATTTTTATTTTTAGTTGAAAAATGTATGCTGATAGGCGTACAAAGTAGTAGGATTTGTCACTAAATTGGTTTTTGGCGCCCCTCACAGTTAGCCAAATGTCAACTTCTTTATTTTTCTTCGTCCAAACACTTTTGTTTTTTGTGACCTATACATTTTAAGTATATAACAAATGTAAATGTATAGGCTAGTAGTATAATACACATTATAAATAATAGTGTTCCCTTCTATGAGGATTCTAATGAATAATGCTGGTGTTGCGTGTTTACTGTTGCTGTGGTTCCTTCCTTGTCAGGTCAAGCCTGACTTTTGTAGTCACAGACATCTGTATAATGTTTGAACACCCAGTTGAAATGATATTTGCATTAAAAAATGATTTAAACCCCCAGTGGGGGATCACCTATTCCCATATTTATTTAATAATAGCTTGGGATGTGCTGAAGAAGACTTTACAGAGTGTTTGACTCTTGCATTGTCAATACAAGATCTTGATTAAAAAACTGATGCACCTCTTGATGGAAATAACATTGCAACATGTATATGTCAAGATCTTGCAATGTAAATGCAAGAGTCAAACACTTCTCTCCAGCAAATCCTAAAGACTTTCAATGAATTTAAGGTGCCAATTCATGTGTGAAAAAGATTATTCATGCTCTCTCCCGACCATTCTTTCACAATTTGAGCTTGATGAATCTTGACATTGTCATTCTGGAATATGGCCATGATGTTTTGGCTACATGGTTGTTTAAGAAATAAAAATCTACACACTCCATCAGTTATGATTAGAAGAGCTGTTCCCAAACATGATAATCACTGCAATAATGATACAATCATTGACTCTTAAACATTTGCCTTTTTATATCCAAACAACAACTTTTTTTTCAACAAAGTAGTAAAGTTTTCGTTCATTTGCGAAGACTGTGCCCTCTCAACGTCGTATTTATCGTCGAGACACATTTCAGAAAAGTAACCATTATAAAATGTTGTTTTTCTTTGTGAGACCTAAATTACTGCAGTTTCTTTCTTTGCAATAGTTGTCAAAAATATTGATTTTTAGATGCATATCGATAATAAAATATCTGAAACGTTACAATAATCATTTCCCGCAGTATCAATATTTGATACATCAGCAGCTGCTACGCTTTCACGCTCTCTCTTCTCTCCGAGAGGGAGTTGACACACACCTGCCTCCACTCACTCACTCACTCATCTCATTCGCTCCGTTTGTAGTTTTGGTGTTACAGGGCATGAATTTTGGCATAATTCCACTCATTTCTCATTTCATTTGTTCACGGATTATTGCGCTTGAACAGTTAAATACCCCAAAAATGATGTCAAAGGGCCCATTTTGCCCAGTACGTGCGTAAGCACAGTCGGTTATGTCTTAAGTGAACATAAACAATTAAGAAAGAAAACGCAACGTATCTGTTTATGAGATCATTGTGTTCACTCTTAAAGGGACAGCAGCTTACAAAACCTGCTCCCTTCTGTCATTAATGTGAATCAAACAACAAAAGGCAGAGAAAATTACTTGGTGATCTGAATATCTTTTATAGCTTTTATTGTAAGAATTAATCTGTATTTATGTTTTGCAATGAAGACTACATTATTTTACGATTGATTACATTATTCCATTCTGTCATTATTCCATTCCTAAATACTACTGTTAGACTCACCTGAAAAACTGTCATTTATTTATTTGTTCTCATGACTATTTACTTGTCTTTTTTATAAATTCAGTTTGAATCAAGCTTCCTTGTGCTGTGTGTGAGCTTTTGTAATATTATTGCCCCATTGTAAAAACACAAAGACATTAAGCGAACAAACATTTAGGTGACATAATTGTAATGGTAGGCTAACTGATCAATGTTAAATTAAAATATGAAGTGATTGTGTCTATTCAGAAGACTTGGATTATTCCACATGATTCATATGGATTACTGTTACAATGTTGTGTACTTTTTTAAGAAGGAAAATATTGATGACTAGAATTTTAATGGTTGGACAAAAACAATTATAAAATAATTGAAAAATATCTATATGGCAGTTTTTCCCCACATTATCGAATATCGAGATTTTTCAAGGAATCGTAGCAAAGTTAGAAATTCCAGTATTGTGACAACACTTAACACTACTTTTCAATGTAGGTTCCTTTTCTTCAATGGCGTATGCAGCCGCCAGATATACACACCACCTCCAGTGGGCACAGCCTTCGAAACGCTCGGGAACAGACGTTGCGTGTGCCGCCCTGGTTACCATTGGGCAGGCAGTGTCAGGCAGTGAATTGACATAAGAAGACCCACTGTCTTTGCTTTATTACTTATAGATTTACACATCACATATACTGTATAATACAAAAAATATTTTTGGATTAAAATGTATTGACGATCATCTAATGATGCTGGGACGCCAAAAGACAATTCTCTTTGACAAATCCCCTTAAAATGAATAACAGACAGTTATGGACAAATACTTTCACAGACTTTGATGACGCATTTCCACAGTCATTATTAACATTGTACATCTAGCAATGTTTTGTTTTTTTTTACGCCAAAATGC